TCATAAATACTGTGGTATGAAAAGAACAGAAATACTGAAAATAATGTACCGAGCCACTTTTTACATGCACTAAGAAGCAAGATTAAAGTATAGTAAAACTAGTTTGAAATATGTAAATTTTTTTTAACATTAATTAAGAAAAAGATATGAAGTACATTTTGGTCATGTCTAATTTTACAAGAGCAGTCCAAAGCGGCATGCAGAACTGGGTGTACAGATATATATTGCCTGGAAAGACTTTGATACAAAACAAAACAAAACAAAAATGTTCTATTGAAGCTTCTAGTCACAGTACTTAATAATAAATGTGCAAAATGAAGGAAAAAAAGTCCAAAATCATTTCATTAATGGATTTTTGTAAAAATGTAATGAACTTCTTCATTTAAATAAAACAAACTCTAGCTATTTTGGGGTCAAAACGTGGTATTTTTTCTTCTAAAAGAAAACCTTTCTAAACCAATTAGAAAATGGCGATATGCTAAGTAACATATATGAAAAGGCATAAAGAAAGAGGAAGTCCAAGAATAGTGGACCAAAGTGAGCTCTGTATGAAACATCTGACTTCTGATTTAAACTTCCCGATGACTCTGTAGTCTCAGATGAAGTATTCAGCTTCTCAGCATGCAGGCTAACATTTAAGTTTTGTCTGTGCCAAGGGCTCTGCTAAATTTGAGCCTTCAGAAGTTAGCACCACTGAGGAAAAATCACTGAACTTCAGGTCCTCAGCAGTTTTTGATGCTTATTTTAGCTTGGTACAGGTGTGGCGGCTGACTTGTTGATTGCAGGCATTAACCCTGCAGCTGAACTGAATCTTACTTAGGATATGTCTAGATTATGGAAATGTCAATAGGATTTGCATTAATTAATTACAGATTGCAAATTTCCTTATCTTAACCAGCTTTTAACTGGCTTTGAAGAACATAAAGCAGTCTCTTTAGTTAATGTCAGGGAACACTATTTTGACACTAAATGTTATTTAGTAGTATTTGTGATAGGAACCATTCTCCCATATAGAATAAATATAATTTTCTCTTATTTAAAATCAAAGTTCACAGTGCTTTACAGCAGGAGCATGAAAAACTTTTTTTTAACAATGATCTTTCTACAGAAATTGTCATTAAGAGAAAATACGGGTCATTATCGAGTTCCAAGTGTTTAGTTTATGCCCCAACCTGGCCTAGTTATTGTCAAATAAATTTCATTTATCTATTCACAATTACAGCCATAAGTTGCAGGGGTGTCTGAACTCAAGGCAGTGAGAGAATAAATACTTCTGTGCATACAGTCATTCATGGGGAGACATAAGTATTAGCACATATTTTATGTATCAACTAACTTCATTTGATATTTATGGGACCGTGAGATGGGCAAAACCTGAACTCCTTACTCAGGAAAAAACTTTTAAAAAACCCCAACCACTTTAGTAAATGAAAGTTCTACAGGAGAATTGTGAAATAGTGTGAACACATACAACGCTGCTTGACGGCATACCACATCTTCCAAAACAAGAGAAAAAACACATTATCAAGTTGTAGAACTGCAAGTTCACATTTTTATGACTGTAGTCATCAAGAGACTACAAATAAAAAGGCCCTAGCAAAAGGCAGATAGACATAAAGAAAAAACAGGAGGAAAGAAATTATGATTTCACCAGATTTCATACAGTCCTATTCAGTAGTAGCTTAATGCAAAAAATAAAGTGATATGCCAAACGAATGCTTGTTGTTCAATACATAATGAAAACAGGTTAATCAAATTTCAATTCCAATTTTGCCTGAGTAAGGAGAGCAGGCTTGGGTCCATACTCCCTTGGTGAAAGTCCTATAAAAATAAACAATATCCATTACAGCTACTGCTGAAAACTGCAGGAAATATATTCAAAACTTCTCAGTAAGACATCGAGAATACAACATTCATTAGTAAAAGCAGAAAGAGATAATGTAATTCAAAATACAGTTATTTCTTCTGTGTAAACAGAACTTGGTAAAACCCTCTGAAAGTTAAGAGAGAAAACAGCAATAAGCCTGTACAACTTCTCTCTCTCGTAGAACACATACGTGTGCTTTTATTAATGTATGAACACACATGGTGTATTTTGCATATATTTTTAACAGCAAAGGGAAATGATCCCAAAAGGAGTAAAATATTTTCATATGAATCAGTTATTCTAAAGTTGAATTGTGCTTAAGTGGTGACCTTCTATTTGTTGCAAAGAAGGAAAACTTTTATACTAATACATCTCTTGTCAAAAGCCACTCTCTTAGGTCTGACAGTAGTGCAAGACAGACACACACAAACGCTCCGAACAGCTGGGCATGACTGTAGAATCATTATTGGTCTTTCTTCAATATATTATAAAAATATTTTAGGAAACAAAACCTGCATCTTGGGACTTAATCTTTCACGTGGTACTTCTGTAACAAAAAGCTAAAGCACCCGTCACACTGGGGACACTAGAAATATCCCCACAGTACCTTTCCGGTGACCCTCATTTGGACACTGCAACCACTGATCCTCTGTCACTGAAATCTATGCTCACCCAAGATCAGACTATTTACCTGTATAACTACATGTCTGCTCAGACCTGACCAGCAGTTTTTGCTTTTCAAGGAGGGTTGTACTTCCCAGTGAAAGCTGTGGCTGAGGGCTATTTGCCTTCTCTCTTACCGGCAGCAGCAACAGAAGCTGGCTGGGACATCACAGCTGGTCATCATGAACATCTCAAAAGTCAGATTCAAAACCATAATAAACAGGAATAGAGTAAGCTGCTGTGTGGGATCACAGAGGCCAAATGAACGCAAGACTGTAGAGTAGGTTGAGGAGGAAGAAAAGCTATTGAGACCGACTGTCAGTTGGGACATCTTGTGACAAAGCCCTGAGCTGTGAAGGAAGTTAGCTGGGAAACTGTAGTATGGAAAGGCTGTGAAATTGCTTTTTTTACTCCTGAGCATTTAGCATGGCATCTTGGTCTACAGTGGCTCAATTAAAGCGATACTATTTCACTGTGCAATGTGGTTTGTGTTACATTTTATGGTATTAATGCTATTAGTTTTTAAAATAAGGAGGTTTTAAAAATTAATAGAAGGCTGTTATAAGATTACTATTTTGTTACTATTTTTATTTACTAAGGACAGCTGCATTGGCCAATGTTACATCTACTTTTTTGTTTTCATATGTCCCCAGGTTAAAAAAAAAAAAACAAAAAAAAAAACTTGCTTGAAAGAACTGCAGAACAATTCACTGTGGATGGCATGTAGCAACTGCAGGCTTAAAATTCACAAGGTTGTACTTTAAAGTCTTGCAGCTTCTCACAGTATGTTAACAAAACTAAATGCAACTGTTTGATTTCTGAGTGTGAACGTTTCACAGGAGGAAAAAAAAAATAAAAAAAAATCTGTCGATAAAGATCCTCACCATCATCTGAACACTCGAACTGGACTTCCTTTTCTGAATTGACCAGTCAGAGAGAAAGGAAAAGAAGAAAATGTGACTGGTTGGATTTGAAGTATCAATGCATGGAGTACAGTATATTTCCGTTTTGGTTTTTTGTTTGTTTGTTTGTTTATTTTTTTAAGAAAAAGACAGCTTAAGCTGTAGGAAGGGTGGAAAAATGCTATGGAGTATATAGTATCTCAGTAACGGAAATGACAAAACCAGACTTCCCCAGATGTAAATTTACTCCCTTTGCTCCACATGACCATGCAGACAAACAGCAGACACATCAAATGTGCTGAAAACCAAAGTATCAAATCCCAACAAGTGTAATTTAGGCAAAATTTTGGCAACAATTGTTTCCAATATTATAATCAAAACTGAGATATAACAAATACCATCGTAGACCTGTAGGAGGAATGATATTTAAAAAAGGAGAAGCTGGTCAGATAGAGTACGTAAAATTTATGTATTCCACAACGAAATATGTTAAGGGTTTTCCACAGGAATGATAGAATAGTACTAAATGTGTGCTTCTCCATATAACTAGGCTATCTACCACTTGGCAGCACGAAGCATTGAAATTGTAGCGTACTCACTTCATTTTAAGTCAGTCTCATGATTTTTTTCATAGGAAAAGTGTGCATATGTGGGAGAACAGGAACAAACATACTATGAATCTGGTATTTAAGTATACAATGTTTTGTTAAAGTAAAAAGTTAAGATTAAATAGAAAACTAAAATTCAGGTCAAAGACACACTTCTGAGTAAACACACAGAGCACAGAAGAATATCTTTTGAATCATATAATGAAAGCTTGAGGCACTTATTTTAGTCTTCAGGAGTCCTCTGAGAAAAGAAATAAAATATTTTTCATTGCTGAGTGATTTTTTTTTTCTGGCTGTTTTTCAAAGTATTTATCCAGAATGTTCATTTGTGAAGCATCTCTCCTCCTGCAGGATCTGGTGACGTGAGAATAGGAGCTCTAAATCATGTATGAAAGCTGCCAAAATGTTCCCTTCTTAGCAAGGTTTATTAGTCAGGATGAGCTGATTTGTTGAGATAGTAAACCCCTCAAGTTCTGCCAAATATAGCAAGTACATCTGGCAGAATACACCTCATGTGGAGCCAAGACTACCAGTAAACTTTTAGTCTTCCATGAAATCTAATGAAAAGTCAAGGGTAAACATGGAGGCAATAGAGCTGCAGATAAACAGTGATACCTAAAAAGCTAACATGCCCACCACTAAATCATTATTCATATTTATAAGCTAATTAATAACATTGAGTCATTAATTACACAATCATCCTTCAGTAAAATAGCAAGAAAAGCATTTTCTCCAGTAGTTTTCAATCTTCCACTTATTAAAATGCTTGGTTTTCAATATTTATTTCATTTTTTTTAAGCTTCGCCTACTAACTTTAATCACTTCAAATACACAGTAAGAAGGACTTGTTAACAAATTCTATAAAGGAAAGAAATAACAAGGATCAATTCTAAAAACTGGCAGAAGTTACAGATAGGTGGTGACTAATAAAACATATTTTAAAGCACGTGTTTAACCTACCTTAACTCCATCCGGCTTTTTCAGTAAACTCTTCGCTGCTGTAAAATGAGACAAATAATTTCAGTGTCAGGTGGTTAACACTGAGGTCAACCAGCTGCGCAGCAAACCCCCATTGCTTCCCAGCTGCAGATACATTTTCAGCTTTTATTTCCCCCTTTTGTTGCTCTGAGTATAGGAAACGAAATATTTAAGCAACTATGAACACTTCAGATTATAATTCATCTCTTTTTCCATTGATTAAAGCTGTAGGTTAACTTACTTATACAAGGAGAGACCTCCTTGGGTGGCATAGAGGAAATGGAAGCAGGGTGAGTGTAGAAGCAGCAGCTTTGGATACGTTCATTTTTTCAACTGCAGTATGTTTACAATTGATGATGGGGATAGTTTGATACGACTATGAAAAAGTACGGTTCTGATGGCACAGACTTTGATCAGGTGTTTGCAGAGCCCACTGGTACCTTAATGATGATATTGATATGACGGTGACATAAAAGTAACCAGTATCAGATCAATAAGGTACCTAAAGAGCCTAGTGAGGTACAATACTATCTATTCCACCTAATGAAAAGTAAAATGGGTTTTAAAAAAGCACCTCTGAGCAATGGTTCTTTGGGGATTTCCCACCATGACAGCACCAGTAACCTTGCGTGAAAGGTCAGGAAAGTTGCAAATAAGGAAGAACAATCTGCTAGTGAAATGGTGTTTTGGAGCAGTGCTTCCTATGAGTTAATAACAACAAATGGTAGGCTTTGCTTCAACTTCTAATGAAGAAAACCTGTTCTTTTCCGAACCATGTTGCACACTGATCAAATTTCTTCAAAGCACCGGGGACTGTTGGACAAAACTTCACTTGCTGTAATGTTATCCATGTGTTAGGCTTTAAATTCCACCACTTAAAACTGGCACCAAGATCGTGGCTGAATCATTCCCAATTACTAAATTTGGAGGGCTAATATGCAAGCAAGCACACCTGAAAACATTTACAGCAGAAGTACATGGTGGGTGACCTACCAAATTCAAATAAACGATTCACTAAAGCGTAAATGCTTCATGGCTCATTGCCAAAGACTTGAAGAATAATAAATTACAAAACAAGCCTGGCAATTTTTTTTGGTTTTATTGTTGTTTATGACCCAATCTTCTTATCAGAAAGTGTATCACAGCTTAGGTTGTTAAGAAAGTGCTATTCTATATACGTTGTTTTGCTTAGAAATAGGAAGCCTTTTTGCAAGGGAAATGCTGCAGCTAACAATCTGGCATAAGCAAAGGGAGACAGTCCTGACATGGAGCTCCCATCATTACCAGCATCCTTCTCTTCAAAACAAAACAACAGTAACAACAAAAAACCCCAAACAATTAGACCTTGCAAGCCTAAGGTTGCTCAAACTAGCTGAGGATATTTGAGTTATTGAGTACGTGGTTTGAGCTTGAAGTTAATTTCTGAATTTGTGGATTATTCTCTGGCTACCTCTGCATTAAGTGCTCATTTAGCTCTGGTTCAGAGTACAGAAAAAGTCAGATCACCTCGGAAACTGTACAGAAATAACTAGGGTCCATTATTGTGTTGTTTACATTAAAAAACCTGGAAAGTGAAGCCAGGTTAATGTTTATAATTTCATTAATATATCAGCCCTCCAAATGCAGTTTATTAATTATGGACATCAGCCAACATTACCATTAAAACTCTAACAAGGCCCATGATTTACAACTAAAATGAACAACAACAAAAAATTGCCTGTATTATGCAACAGGACCACTGCAGAAACATGTAAAGTAATACTGAAAATAAACTGGTTTACATATATTTTTGAGATAGGATATGCCCTGTTGCAATGTGTACTTACAGGACCTGATGCAACATGGCTATAGATTTTACACTACCACAAATATTGTGGGCACTCCATTAACTTCAGAAATTCATTCAGGGAGAGCAAAGGGGAGGAGCCATTTCTACAATCTAAGGCCAAAAACCCCAGGAGTCCATTGCTTTTGAAGCCTGTTTTATACCATTAGCCGTTACAAAAACATGGGAAAACACAAATTAATTCTTATAGGCTGCTGTTCATAACAAACTAGGTCCTTTTGCTAAATTTGTGCATAAAACTTCCGAGTTCTTTTAATGCTTAACAGACATTACATGTTATATGTAAACAATTAAATGAAAGCCAGTAAAATGAGGGCACCAAAAGCAATAACTACAAGTATTGTGTTTATGGCATTGCCAGCATATCCTTCAGAATGTGCCTAGTATGGATTATTATGCACTATTTTATGTTATAGGACGTATTCCATACTCAACTGCCTTTGTTGGTTTTGGCTTGGAAGGTATTTTTAATAATAATTTGATGCATCTTTCTTTAAGCACAGATACTGCATACAAATCAAATATTTAAAGAATTTGCAGTAGCAAAGCAATTAGCATATTCTAAATTAAGCCCACAATGAAAGATTTCTTGCAACTACAAGCAATAGCTATAAATAAAACCTAAGGCAGCGCTAATAGGCCAGAAAGCAGACTGAAAAGAAATGGTGTTGTGACAACGTGTAGAAATTAAAGTGATTTAGAACAACCAGCAATTTTGATTTAGAAGAGGAAAAAGATGTTCCTTTCACGTGCTGAGGGTCTTACCTCACAAGAAATATACATTCCACATAAAAGGAAGAAAGAAAAAGGAAAATAAAACACTTTTATAACCACATCGTTATGGACAAATGACCTTCAAAAGCATGCTTTGCAATGAAATACAATGAATAAACAACTTGAAAAAAGTAAAATGTCAACAAGGAAAAATACGGGTCATTATGGTATAAAACAGAGATGACAGGTGAAAAAAAATCTAAAACAAAGCCAAAAAGCCTGTTTGCTTTTCATGACGAAATACTATTTTAAAATTACTTCAGCTTTTTTTGGTTCATGAAAGTTGAACTTGACGTTACATATATGGACAGTGACAGTTATGAAAAGTGATGAGAAATGATGTATTTGTTTCATAGTTAATAAGAATTCATTTTTACAAGATATGCAGCCTACAGCATTCCCACCTTTAAAATAAATTGGCAGATACTGGCAATTCATTAAGCATTAACTGAATGTAATTTACGTAAATGTAGTCTTCTGTGTTACAGGTGTGTATTAAATATAGGAACTTAGCTAAGAAAGAAACTGTATTTCAAGTACTATGCAAATTGAACAAGTTGTTCTTGCATTCATGATTATGTTATTTATTTTGGATGATTCAGTTCTTATTATGATTCAAAACATGTTTTTGTCCATAAATTAATTTATGTTACACTCCAACAGCTACATCACAGAGTAGGAGGATACGTAAAATTACTGATTTTTAAATTTGGCATACTTTTTCACTATTCACTTGAAATATCAAATGGCAAAATGAAAAATTCAGCATAGCATCAAAATTTTGGCAATACTACTATTGAGGACAATTCTAACTCTACTAACAGCAAACTTATTTTAGCTTTTGCTTTTAAAATTTCTAAAATTCAAATTTTAGATCTTTAAAATTAAAATATCTAAATCTCCAGGGATACCACTACAGAATTATTTCATAAAGAGAAAACATCTCCTGTTATATCAAGCTAGGCATTAGAAGAGAAGGAAAAGAAGGACTCATTTTACTATGTTTCTTACTCCCTAGCAAAGCAATAAGGAATGGATGTGGTTTGGGGGTTTTGTTTGTTTGTTTTTCATACAGGATACAACAGAATCCTGGAATGACATTTCAAGTATATAAAAATAACTAAGATTTTAAGCGCTGTTTGGTGATACTTATGCATGTGGAGCTATATGCATCATTTTCAACTTTCTTCTACCAAAATAGAAAGGAAAACACTGTCTTTTGACAGATAAACACTAAAAAAGTAAAGAGAAGGAACTCACATTCTACTGAAAAATTATACTGTCATCTACAAGAGATTCTATCTGGCCCAGAGAGTTTAAATTCGCTTGTTCGCTTCTGCAAGGGAAACAACTTAAGATATATCGCACTTAGATGCTCCTGAATAACAAAGATCTTTCCGTACTAATGAATCCTCGTTAGATCTTAGTCATCTCAGACATCAAAACATAAAGACCATATTAATCTGGAGCTCAATAAACATACCTGAGAAATTTCTGGTAGCCAGCATAGTTGTCAAAATGGCCCCCTGTGTACACATACATTTTCTCAAATTAGCATCACACTTGTATAAAATTCTGAATGTGAACACGACACAACAAAAAGGAAAACACACGCATAAATTACATCAAGTACTAAATTAACCCTGAAAGAATGGATTGTCTGCGCATTACCTATCATACGTAATGCCATGAGTGCATAAACTGTAATTTAATCTTAATCACACACCTATCAGCAATCCTGAGAATCTCAGATATCGTATGTAATGCACAAACCATGAGTACTAACAGGCACGGTAATTATCAGCAAAATACATAGCTGAATATGAAATAGACTTTACTAATGTGCTTAGATTCTTTTTTAGGTAGGAAGAGGAGTTTACTTGTAATGTGCTAATTAAAAAAGTTCACATCTGCAAAGTCATCCTGTCTGGTCAGGAGAAAACAAAGGATAATCTAGAAGAATAACCTTAAGGTTTTTCCTTCGATGAAGTATTTTTCACGTGTATAAATGAAGATGATTGTTATTATCTTGAATCCAACAAAATTACGCTATGTTCTATTCACTTTCATGAAAAGTTTAAAATCCTCGTGCCAAAAGCCGATCATCTATCAAATAGTTCATTTAAGCACAATATTCAAGAAAAAGCTTGCTTAGGGACCATTTGTTTTACACATGGAACAGAAGCCAACATTCTTTCCAAAATTAGCTATTCATCCTTGCAGTTTTCATTCTTACCTTTAGTTTTCTTCTTGCATTGAATTTCTTCAAGCAATCTACAGTCTCTTGCCTGTGCATCATAGAGGCAACAGTAGAACGTTGCTAAGAGAAGAAGAAAAGAATCATTTTAATGCATTCGGACAGACATCCAGCATTTTATTTACTCTACAACATACATATTACAACCTGCATGGTCCAAAACTTGGGCCTTTAATTTCTACCCTGTCTGACTATCTCTTTGTGCAGGTTGCTACACATTTGGGAAATTTCCAGATCAACAAAACCAAGGTCTCATTTTACTCGGCCTTTTCCACATGTAAAATCCTCTTGAAAGAAACAGGGACTAAGAAAAACACAAAATCTTGGAACTTAGGTTATGCAGTATAACCATAATTGAAGTAATATACTGAATTATGATTTTGGAAAATATGTTTTAAAACAAGAAGGAAATTTTTCGTTAGCATTAGCGACATTAGGTGAGGTACAGCAGCAGGAAATATTTCAGAGAAAATTCAGTGGTACCTGCATTTTCCCTGTAACTCAACTTTATTTGTACCACAATTTTAAAGGCAAGATAAACGTGGCCTGCTGGAATGAACAAAGAATTGAGAACCAGCTAGATGTCTCACTGTGACTTTCAAAGTATCAGCCCAGACTACCTGCAAAGTCAAAGTGTAGAATGTACTGAGAACTGGAAAGTCGTCCTGGATCTAGTAACAGACAGGCAGCCTCTGCTACCCGCAAACTGACTTTTAAAAAGTCCCTTAATTTCCTGCCTTTACATTTTATTCTTATTATAATGGTTATAGGGAAATGAAGATGTAAAGCATTATCTAACTCAAAGTTACTTTCTTGTACGTTTTTTTTCTCTGAGAATTTAAAATAACACACTGATTTTGGCAGTGAACTTCTGCACCACCAAGTCAAAGGAATGGAGTTCATTTCTGCAAAAATCTTACCCCAGGCGGAGACCTCAATATACGGCACTATTGACTGTATCTGTATAATTACAATTTTACACTCCCCTAGTTATATAGCTGCATGAGTAGGGACAAAAATTACTCTCTGAACACCTTCACTACATGCTGAAGTAAACCATAAGCTGATTTGTCTGACAAATTATCCTGTTAAATTGGTGGAAATTACTTACACAGATCCATGGATGCTTTAGTGCTTCTGATGCTGTGATACGTTTTGCTGGGTTGATGGTAAGCATTTTATTGATAAGGTCTTTTGCTTCAGGAGTCACTGTATCCCATTCTGGTGAGGGAAACTTAAGAAAAAAAAATATGTATGTGTATATTATCTTGTACAAACTTTACACCATTTTACCTAAGGATTTTTTACTGACACTGTTTCTGTAACATTAATTGCTAGCACAAGTAACCAGTTTTAAGGGGAAAAATGCAGTTTTCCACAATAGAAAAGTTTGAATTAGTCGGTTTTATAAATAAAGTTTTCCTCCTTTACTATTTTGACCTTTTATTTATTTGGTTCAAATTCACAGCATTTCTATATTTACAGTAACATGATGCCAATTGAAATTCATAGCGTGAAATAACAATGGCAGACAGAATAACAAATTCCAGTCATCTGAGAGGCATATGGTCTTACAGCACTTCATACAGTCCTAGTTTCTCTTTTAGTAAAGACAAAAATATTAAGCATTATTATTCAAACTCCTTGTTTGCTTTCTTTCAATGTAAATCTTAATGCTAACTGTACAGTTATGGTATATAAATCTAATTAGTTATGAGTTTAACACCTCCCTGCTCAGCAAAATATTTATACATACACTCAAAGCATCTGCTGAAATGCAAACAGAATGAAAAAATGCCATGTCTTAAACTGCTTTTGTGAACAGACCTTAACCTTGAGGGTTCTGTGTTTTCCACTATTAAAAGTACTTATTCTTAGACAACAGGAATCTGGTATTATCAAAGCACAGTACATCACAAGTATGTGCAATGCAGATGCATAGTTCAGTCTCTGCACTTCCTCTATTCTTGCCCTCTCGGCTGAAATCATAATTCCCCACTGTCACCCTATTTGTTACTGTATGATTACTTGTTCACTAGGAAGAAGACTTGACAGACCATAAGTTTATTTTCACTAAAAGGCCATAGCATAACAAATCCCTTTTCAGTCATCGCCATCTAGGACTGGATTCAAGTTAAGAGCTTAAAAATTATAAGCTTCTGTCTTTTCCTCTTCATCATTTACAAATTACTTAAATCTGAGGACCAACAGCCTTTTGTCTGTTTAATATAATATAAATGGACGATGTTGCAAAATTCATAATGTCACCAAATCATCAGTTCTTACTTACCAACAGTTGTAATGCTTTTTGTTGGAATACACGTAGTTAATGAAACCACTCCTTTTGAAATGCTGTAGAGCAGCTTGTATTTCCAAATAGTGGGCAACAGAACAGCATTAAGGTGTATATTTAGGAAGCTTAAGACTTCTTAAGAACAATTTAGAATAACTGATTGGTTGAAGTGATAAACCACAAGGGAAAACACAGGCCCCTGGGAGTTCACAGAGGTCTGAAAAGGCTTGTCAGGGTAACATAAGCTTGCATGATTTATACAGGGACCAGACAATGAAAGCTTGAAGCCATAGGGAAATTAGATTCAAATTCTCATAGGACGTTCCCATCCCAATAAGGTTCATGTTACTAAAGCAACATTTACTGCATTGAGTGGCTCTTAACCAATAAAAAAAAAAATAAAATTGTGATTTCACTTTTCACTCCAGAAAACTCCTATGTAGAGGTACAATTATAAATAATTGAATAGACAGAGTATGGTACATACATCATAAGCACCAGCCTTGATCTGCTGGTAAAGCCTGTGCTGGTCTTCATCCCAGAAAGGAGGATATCCCACCAGGAGGATATACAGAATGACACCTGCAGAAAATTCACAGTAGTATTACGTGATTTCAAGAAACAAACCCCAGAAATTCATTTTGCACCTGACAACCACGTAAAACAAATCGCTCAATAGTATTATGCCAGCTACTGAAAAATGCTGTCTATTCATACTGGAGAAAATAGTAAATGTAGGGTTCACAAGATAACCTTCTATGCAGAGCATGGGCAATAACGAGTATCTGACACATCAGATCAGGAACACTGAAAATGTCTAGCTAGCTGGAGAAACAATTTTCAGTGATCATGGATGTTCTTGGAAAATGCATTTTTTTACCTCTGGTTTTATCATGGCTTGTACTGGTGCCTGTAAGATTGTGTTTTAACTATTCTCATGCAAATAAAATTTGGGCAACTCAATTTATCTGTATAAATATATGGTCAACAGGAAAAATAAAAAGTCCATCTGCTAGTCTTACAGAGATGATTCACTATGACTAAAGAAAAGTGCTTTCATAAATACAACGAAATAAGCCTGAGTAGAACTAAAATAAGGAAAGCACCAATTGTTCCCAGCTAGGTAGCTGCCTCTTGCCAGCACCTGAAACTACACTGTTTCAAGAACTGGATGATAAAGTAATAAAGTAATTGGCCTGTACTCCAGTTCACAAAACACTTTAGTTTCATAGTTGAAAACTGCAGTTCTAGTATATTGGTCAGATCAGATTTCAGGCTGCTTGTGAACCAAAACTAAGACCCAGCTCACAGTATCAATTGTTATGTTTTCTAACTAGTCAGGCATCATGTGCCTGCAGCTATTTTTTTAATACTTTGTGAAAGTGTGTTGTGTAGACGTGGCCAAGAATGCCATGATATCACAAATGATTAAAAAAAAAAAAAAATAAAATGAAGCTAGTAGGATAACAAAAAAAAACCCCAATGACCTCTTCTAAAAATTAATATTGAATTTTACTAAATACATATTATCCGATGCAGAATATAATGTATTCTGGACATCACCTCTCTCCCTCAAAATACCTCACAGTGGACTGAAGAATCGCCTTTCAGAATAATTTCTTACCACATGCCCACATATCCACAGGTTTTCCATAAGGATCTTTTCGTAGCACCTCTGGAGAAAGGTATCCTGGAGTACCAGCAAAGCCTGTCAAAAGGCAAGGCAATGATTCTCAAAAGCTGTACATGCTCTGCAAAAATCCAGTGATTCTCATCTCAGTCCACAAGACACAGGACACTATTTCCCAAGCCATCAACCACTACCAGCTTCATTTTGAACTTTTCTTTTTAAGACAAATCGCCTAGAAGTAACAATAATGGGAACGCTTATGCAGACTTGGCACATCCTTTTCTGCCACCACGTCTGGTAGAGGCGAGGGGACAGCAATAAGCCAGCTGGTTACCCAACTACACTAGCACTCCAGATGCAACGGTGGTGTCAAGAATCCGGTGACAGTGCAACAGGGGAAGGTTTCCAAAAAGATTACAAGATAGCTGACACAATTTCTTTCATGACTGCTGAACTACTGTGAGCTGTAGCGACATATCCAGTACTGAGGTGCAAATACATTTGGCTCAGGGTCAAGGTCAAAAAAGTTAGCAGAGTAGGGGGAGCGTGGGGAACATTATGTGAGTGATTCCCTTGGAGATATTAATTCAAAGACAGAAAATTCACACCACGCAAGCCAAAGACTGTTACTGTTTGGGTTTTTTAATCATTAGCCTAATTTAGGCTATTTTAAAATAGCCCCAAACTATGAAAATTAAGACTGTAAACATGACTTGCATGGGATTTCTGGGAGTCCGTCAACTGTGAAGACTGCTACCACAGAGTACTTCCACTGACATTTATGGGGAACTAATTAACAAAACAGAGGGGCAGCTAAGCTACAGTATCGTAACTATAAGGAGCATTTTAAAAGCCCTATTCCATGTTATGGGAGGACAGATTTCTGAGTAAACAACATCTAGTAGGGCTAGATTTAAGAAAAGCTTACGTATGAAGAGATCTCTCATTTAGAAGAAAAAAAGAAAGTAAAAACACTGTTCCAATTTCTTCACACAGAAGTGGAAACTCAATTCCGCCAATGCCAGATGGTGGCAAAGTAAATGCTCAGAGATGTTCAGGATTAGCTTTCACAAGAGCACAACTGGCTTTTACTTAGTATGAAGACCACCAACTTAGGGCTCAGCCTTCTTACAGCCTTTGCTGTTTGTATTTTGCACAGCCCCTTCTAATACAATCTTTCCACTGCAAAACTAATTTCCATGAAGTCATTTCACTTCTGGAAACCTCCTTACAAAAGCTTACAAGAAGCATCTCTAAAGTAATCTAGTCTTTAAAATTTATATGTTCTTCATTCTTTATTCATTACCAGCAGTGCTGCTTTCTCTTAAGAGAAATGCAAAATGTAGGTATAAATGTAGACTTTTCTTAGGATGCTGTAAATGATAAAAATTTAATGACCAATAACATTCTGTACCATTTCAGTTAGTATGTCTGTTCTTTCAAGCATCTTTGCCTAAAATAAATGCTTGGGAATTCTTGAAAGGCGAGAATTTGGTGGCTTTCATGAAGGACCACATGTCATTTCTGACATACCACACCGGATCCCACAGAACTTATGAGAGATGGTGATAATGTATAAAGGGTACAGCTACAGAAAAAGGAAGCCTTCGCCCTGCAGCTGACAATCATTTTAGAATGGAGGAGGAAATGAAGGAACACATTCTGTATGTTCTACTGAGAACATAGCTAAAATATTTTCATGAAAAATAAGCTTGGTTTTTACAGTCTCATGATATGAGATCTATGAATTGTTAGAGTACTATCATACGGGAAACACATCTTAAACTCCTTTGAGAAGCTGAAAAATACACATTCCAAGTAGCTTTAAACAGAGTGACGTTTCGTATCTCTTCTTGGCTGTACTGCTCTACTTTAATATTGTTTTTCATTTTTAAGGGCAAGTAAAGTTGTCTCGACTTTCAAACATAAACATTACTACACATCACTTGAAATTAAGCTTTAAAGCAAAAATAAATATAGTACTTGGCTAACTATCTCCTGATGAAGATACAGAATGGGTCTGAACAGAAATAACTGGTATGGTTTTAGTACATATTCTGAAGTTGTTTAAAGCAGCAAACACAGAAGAGTACACAGTCACGATTTCAGTGAAAAAGAAAAAACATACTGAAATTGTTAACTGTTACTTATCAGGTAATCCTGTAACTGGTCAGAGGGATCCCCATACAAGTGTGTACTTTTCAGAAAACTATTGCTAATAGTAGTATTTATTTTAGCTAAAACAACTTGCAAAGCTAGGAACTGTTTGTGACTGTACAGTGTCTAGAAAAGACTGCATCACCTTGTGCTCCTATCATCAGATGATTTAAATAACTATCCAGAGGCCCAAGACAAATGCCATGCTTTGAGTTCAGTGGTGCATGGGTACATGAGATGGCATGTTACTCAGCCTAATTAGCTTACAGTCTCAAAACCCTCTTATGCAAAGATTACACATATACTTAACTTCATAAATGGTGAGCACATCTCTGGATTGAAGGTTAACTATAATCCCATAACATAAACTTAAATTAATGCAGAGAGATGCATCTTAAACACACAGCAGAAGAGACTACTGCTCTACGATCTGCCCTATGCTCTCATCAACCCTCTGCTAGACTTATAGCCTTCTCATGCAAGGATTCCAAAGTAAATGGCACAATAAACCATGTTAGTTTAAACGGTGTAAATTGTACATCTTTGCTAACATACCTCCCTCTGACTCAAGAATAAAAATTCAAATGAGCAGTCTGGTGAGAAGATATGGAGAAGGCGGCAGCAAGGGGCAAGAGAGTAAGTGTAGGGCAGTAGCCTTCTCTTCCTGCACAGCTGGATCCGCAAGACTAACTGTATACAACCTAAATTTAATGCAACTCACAAACTAATTCAGTGAAGCTACTCAAATGACTTAAGTGGTGCATATTTTAGTCCTAGTTGCAGGGCTGGACTTAATTTAAGATGAGATGCAACTAGGACTAAATCTAGCTACCAGTGAGTTAACGTCCACTGACGTGGGCAATGAGCCACCTGCCTGGGTGAGTCAGTGGAGCCCGCCTGACACTTTCCCAGTACATTAAACACCTGCTAGCAGGGTGGGGTGTTTCAACTAAACCCTGTAACACTTTCTACAAACAGGCAAGGAACAGGTTCCTTTTACAAACATCCAAACCAGGAAAGTATTCCGTTGTATCCAAACATACAGAGCTCCAGCCGGTTTCCTGCTGAGGCATAGCTATGGTTTAAGCAGAAAAGTGACCGTTGCACCAGAGGACTACACCCAAAAAACCAGAAAAATTAGGGAAAAAAAAAGAAAAACATACTCATGCAGAGCTATAATTAGAATCAGAGCACTCCATGAGTCACTAAGTGCTGCAGAATCCAGTGGAAAGCAGAAAAATCTTCTGGAAGGAAGCAAGAAAAAGTTCAAAATGTTGAGCGTATTGGAGTTCATGTTTTGCCTTGTTAAAGCAATCATAAAGATGAAGGAAGGCACTCAGACCACTACAAAAAGGTTTTGCAGAGGAAGTTCCAGAAAAGGTACACAACTCACTAGACTTGCCGAATACCACAAATTTAAAAGAAGAGCCACATTAGACTACCTTCTTTCTATTACCTCGCTGCCAGCTTACTTCTTCCTTACATACATATTTTGAAGACATTCTGTTCAATCTCCTTTCTACCAAGTTCAGCATGGCAGTCCTCATGATGCTGCAAGTCTAAACCAAGCACTTCACAAGAATGAAATGACAAAAAAATAAAGTGCAAAATTTTACAGGGAATTGCAACCTCCTGTGCATCATCTGCAACCATACAGATGTATTACCTACAGATAATATCCCTGAAGTCAAGTTCATTCTGCTGATTTTTTCTTGAGAAAATTTTTTTTCTTGTTTCCTGTTTACCTGGTGTTTTTGCCATTATAACAAATCACTTGTGTTTTGTCTTATTTCTGTTCCACTTCTTTTGTACTGATCTATTTGTTAATTTGCAAGAGCAATCTCCTCTGTCTTTTGTGGATTACTGAAATCCATTTATATAAAAGCTGGGATTTAAAACAACAGGCTAGCTTATAAAGCTACCAACATATGCCCAACAGCACTGCCTGTGCATCCACACATAGTTATATCCTAGATTTCAAACACACAATCTCTGAGCCCACTGCTTGCACAAAATCCTTTGTGCTTCTATTCTAAGCTTTGACAGCAAGCTCACAGTCATTCTGTTCAATTCTAAACTGCACTTTCTAGCTGCTGTGAGAATAGGTAGCTGCTATAAATATTTTATTCTATATGTTTACCTCCTGGGATTTACAATACATTTTGTCCTGTGCTTCACATCTGTTCAAATAGGTTGGTATGCAAGGTAGACGTATCATGTTTGTACATGTCCTATTATTTAAAATGACCAGTAGTAAATCTTTCACCATTTTCCTTTAGGCATCTGTTAACTGTAACAACCAACCTGCAACTAGCAATTTTTTTGTAAATTAACAAAAAAAAAAAAAAAGAAAAAAGGAATATTTTAGTGGAACTGGAGAGAAGTGCATAATATTTAACTCACTGCCCCCTATCCTCTTCTCATAACCTGAAGTGGAGCATTGTACAGGACACGTAACATATATTCCAGGTATCGATTCTGGAGACCTGGTTCACCCTGTCAGTTGCCACCTTCAGGAGGGCAGACACCCTCCCTTTCCAACATTTCAAGAGCAGGTCTGAGGGACAGAATGTGCTCTCTTCTGGTGGTCACACGCACACATGGACTTCGCTTCCACATTCCCATACATCTTTTATCACCTTCACCATCAAGCAAGCATACTCTTGATCCCTTCCAGATGAAGATAATGTTTTCAAAATCACTGAAGTGGCTGAAAAACTCCAGTTCCAGCTTCAGGAGATGTTTGTACGCTGTGGATAGACAACTCTTTCCAGACTATTGTGCAAGGTTCCAGATACTTTTAACCACCCTTTACCTTCCTGGGTTTATGCTCTCTGTGATCTACTATGTGAGCTGCTTATATATTAACGATTGTACATTTTTAATAAGCCAGCTTATTTTGACCTCAGTGGGTCAAAGAACAGTTTTATGAACAGTTTTACTTGCAGATGTGAAGGGGCAGTCACCTCTAGGACTGCAATATAAACAGCTGGGACAGATAACTTGTACTGTCACAGCAACATCTAGATGTGGATGGCTGTCTACGGTCTCAGGTACTCAATCCCCCTCCCCCCCTTTTTTTTTGTTCAAGTCACATTCTAAAGCGCTTCAGAATAAAATTTGCCAGTATTTCCAGTTGACAAACAACTGTTCAGACAAAATGTTTTGATGACTGGGCAGTACACTCAGCAATATAAACCTACAGTTTTACTCTTCAGTCACCCGAGCATCTGACTGGAAACCACCCACCTCCCTCCCAGGCTCTACACCCATATTTCCCTCCTGTAGATACAGAAGGGAAAGCAGGGGAGTAGGAGCTTGTGTGCCCCTACCTCTCAGTCAAACTTACAGGCTGGCAAAAGCTAGAACAAGCCAGGAATCAGGAAACCTAAGTTTCAAGGTCAAGAAAGTCAATGGCACTTAGACTACATGCAAAAGGGACATTTGTAAAGGTGTATTTACTAGAAGCATGAATTTAAAAACCCTGTCCCTCCATCCTACCCTGTATCAGTACTGCTGTGCTGGCAAATCCCTGGTATGAATACAGCTGTGCCAACAGAAGAGACCTTTTCCAATTTATTTTATGTCATTTGGTAAGGTGATTTACCTTTGCTAGTGAAGAGGAAGCTATGGGGCAGAGCCACTTCTTGTCTAAGCGAGCTCTGAGGTTTGGAAATGTAGCCACAGGTCATTTTTGAAGTGCTGAGGGATTTTTGTTTGTTTGTTGTTTTTTTTCTTGGTTGTTTTTCTTTTCTAAACAAATAAGGTCTGCTGCCAAGCTCTGTTTAATTTGTTGAGACATACGGGTAACATTCTTCCTGGAGAAAAAGGTCTAAAGTGTAGTCAGATGTAGAGACTGAACTATGAACAAAATACCCCTTAAAGCTACATACCAAGTAGTCACAGAGCTGCCTGTTTTACACTAGGGTGAGAGCTGGGCAGTTTGGGAGGCTTAATAAATAAATGGTGAGAAGAAAAAAAAAAATTACTTACCAAACCAAGCCTGTTGTTCTCCTTGGACTTCTATAGCCAATCCAAAGTCCGCCAGTTTTACTGCTGCTCCCTTGGATTTGCTAGCTAAAAGTAAGTTCTCAGGCTTTATTCAGAGAGAGAAAAAAATTGAGATGAAAAGATAAGTAAATATATTTTAGACAGGTTTTCACCTTTTTTTTTTTTTTTTTTTTTTTTTTATGGTAGTCTGGAAAAGAACAAATACTTAGAGGAGTGAAAAAGAGAAAAAACCCGTACATTTTCTCCATGACAATGCAAAAATTGCACTTTCCATTCCTACTTGGAAAGAACCACCAGGCCTGTAAACAGCCGTCATGATCCCATGACAGCAAGACTAAGGAAAGGACAGCGTGCAGATCTACTAGACAAGGAGGTCGGCCAGAATGGTCAGATGGAACTGTGACACCTCTTTGCATGATAGGACAATGCAGAGACTCCCAAGAGCTCACCACTGGAAAAATGCTGTAGAAAACCCCCAAAAGACACGTATTCTATGATTACTAGTCTAACCTATGCAGTTTGCAGGATTAGGCATCTATAACTGGCAAACATCAATGTTTTGCATGACAGCTTAACAATAGCAGACATACTATTATATTTGTATTTAGAGGGCAGGTGTATTTACATTGCAAATGCTTCAGCAAAACCAGCATGCCCACGTTTGTGCTTGCGGATAACCTATTACAAATAACAATATAAGTCTGCAAAAGTTCCCACTTTGCTTTTTTTTTTTTTTAAGGTACACTGGTCACATCTGAAATCAAATGCTACAGTACACTCACACAATTAAAAGTAAAGGATTTGAACATAACAATAGTGTTCATTCTACTGTTCGTAATGTATCCTTTTAACTTGATTTAGCAAATATATCAAATGCAAATTGTCTAAAGATAACTTTATTCTCTGACCCTTAACTTTAAAAAAAAGAACCAAAAAAACCTAACAAAATACTATAGAATTCAACAGATTATTTCAGCGACCTCTATAGTATTTTCTTGCCATTTCTCTCTCTTCTATCTCCATTATTTTTAAAAAAGGTTTTGTTCTATATTTACACAACAACAAAACCTCACTTGCAAGGGTATGGCTGTGCCCCTTCCGGAAGTGATTTTTTGTAGTGATCTATCGCAAGCGAATTTACTATATCCAGTCTGGCACTGGGGACCCAATCCTGCAAACTCTTAACCGCATATTTCATTTTAAACCCAGCAGCAATGATATAGGTTTCCAAGGGACTATTTATGTGATTACAGTTAATCCCGTGCAGGTACTGAGCTTGGGAACAATTAAGATCATAAGCTACTTTCAGCAAAAGCTATCTTTAATACAACTGTCAAGTATCCAGCAAAATATGCTTGAGCTAATTAAGACCTCAACCACTGTGATACTTCCATTAATTAACAACACAACTGACCCTGACAAACTCTTTAGTCTAAAGGTGTTTTCTTCCCTCTCACCAAACTGTAAAGGAACATTTCTTCAGCAATTTACAAACACCATTCTCCCACTCATCCCTTTGTTTCTATGTCATAGAAAAGACACTATTAAAAACCTTTCATTAATAGTTACTTGATGAAGCTTCTATTTCCACATTTTTTAAAATTGAGATTAAGGTCTCTCAGAATAAAACATAATATTTATATTCACTTAAATTATCGGTAACAACTACAACTGCAGTATATCAAACACTGAATAGCTGAGGACTCTTCTCTAGGTTCATCACACTGATCTAAGCAGCGTCACAGTGCTTGTCATTTAACTCCACTAATTTCAACATAGAGTCACATAGTTCTTGAAGGTTTCCTATCAGAGAGAGAGAAGTTTACAGTAATTACTTCCTGGAATGCACTTCTTATATAAACCTCTTAAAGCAGTGGATGATCCTATTTGGTTGTGACCTTCAGCAAGCCAAAAGCAGTGAAATGCCTCGCCGTCTTGGTTGAAACACAAGCACTAACCTACCAAGCGCATATCACTCTGCAACACGCGATTCCATTCAAAATAGTAGTTTTATGTTTTCTGCTGCTGGGTTTTTTGGTTGTTTGGTTTGGTTTTTTCTTCTTTTTTTCCCTCCTTGGGATTTTTTTTTTTTAATTCCATTACGTGTCTTTACTCTGCCAATCAAAGTGCTCTGCAGAAATACCATTATACCATTGCCATAGACAAGTATGTTTCAACAGAAGCTGAAGCAGATTTCCTGATTTACTCCTATGCCAAAGACACAGCCTTTTGCGCAGTGTTGTGTGGGACTATGCGCTTAAACAACATGCAGCTGTCATTTCAGGATGACAAGAGGCATACTAGATAATTATCATGCATTAACTTAGAATGACTGCAATTACTTGGAAAACATTAACAGCCCAGCGTGGGCCACTCAGGACTCGTACTTTGGATTCAGTAGTGTCACCTTGTATTACCGGTAGACTGGCTGCAGTCAAGCATGTAGAATGGCAGTGTTAACTACTAAAATTACTTACAAATAAATTAACATGATTTATGCCTTATTTTTCCAGAGGTCTTTACTTCTTAAGAGATCAAGTACTTATGCCTCTGTGTATTTTTCCTTGAATATAACTAGAGCATCCGCTTTTTGGGGGGCAATGCAAGACAGTCATAATCACAGAGTTCCACAAAAGCAGCAATGCTGCTGACTGCCAAGAACTGGAATTCCTACACGGAAGCGCACTTTTACCATCTGCTAAAGACAGACTGCCACTCACAGGTTAATTTTCTCTGGATCTAGGATGCACCAGCATTCTGACTTATACCAAGGATTACAAACAGACCAGCAACAAGCACTTCTGCAAGTCCTAATAGGCTGCAAAAGCTCCTCTCTCTTTGCTACTAAATTATGCTAAAAGGAAAGTTAAATAAGATTGTCCAAAATCTCCTCCTCTTGTTGCCCTCCCCAAACCCCATTATCGGAAAAAAAAAATCCATCAAGTTTTGCAGTTTAAGGATCCACGCCAGGCCAGAACCATCTTCTACATGTCTTGAAGTTCTGGTCTTGGGCCTCGGAATCTTCTTTTCAGTACAGAGAGTTCTGCTGGGATTTCACCAGTGTCCTTCACTTCACTCTGGTGTTTGGATTTTTTGGTTTTTGTTTTTGTTTTTTTTTTTTTACCACAAAGCAGTAACTGAAGAAGGATGGTTTTCTGCTTCCTGAAGTTTTCACTTTCAGAAATGAAACTGGGTACTACAGCTTGGCAGAAACATTTTTTCTCACACTGTTCTTCCAATTCATTCTGGATTTGCCACAGTAAGAACTCCACACACGGTCTGGAGCAGGGAACAGCTAGATTTAATGCATTTCCAAAGAAAAAAGTTATTTTGTGTGAATGTATTCAAAGTACTAAAAAAGCATTCCTTATACTGTCAGCTTGCATGGCTACAATAATTTTTTTCAATTCCTTTTCATGCTAGAAGCATAGTACTGCATGTATGGTGAGGACAGGAACCGCTGGAGCAGCTGGATGAATTTGACATCCTTTCATTTGAACTTGTTCCATGTTACCCAGCTGCCACGCAAGATTTATGGATTGGATAGAGACTTCTCAGTCTCCTGTTGTACAACCGTGACACAGGAAAATCCAGAGGCGCAAAACGGGTAGAGAATTTTGTGTATGTGTCTTTGAAATCCATCGTGCTCTCTGAGGTTCCAGAGCGTAACCCTTTATGTTCCTACAGGACAACAATAGAGACTTTGTAAATTCAGACAATGGCTATAACAGTTGTTTATTTGGGGTGCGAAGGAGAGCAAGAAAGATGACGGCATTCTGATTCCAACGTTATTACTAATGATAACCACCAGAAAACTCCTATCCTGGGAGGAAATTCCTGCTCCCCATAACTCACTCAGAAAGGAAAATAAAGAGACAAAGAAGCTGTGCCAGAAGGAATTAGCATGTTTCACTGCCTTAGCCCACATGCCATTTTTTCTCTGCCTTTGTAAAGAATCTGGCATTTCAGAGAGCGCACTTCCATTTGATTTGAAAATAAGCAATCTTCTTTTACTTGAGGATCCTGAAGGCCAAGTGCCCAAATTAAGTCCTCTCCCTTATCCCCAAGGCTACTTTACTACCAGCTTTGAGACAGACTTGTCTCTCTGAGCTTCCCAGTAAAAGAAAATGATCTTTACTTGTTTACTTGTTTCTTTCCAAGCTAACATGCTTTAAATGCAGAGAGCATTTCTGCAGCAGATGTCTCCAGCCATTTGGATATGTACACGGCTAAGAAAGAGGTAGTGCTCTTCTCAACACAAAGAGTTTTCTTTCTGAAGCTTCTATCCCAATGCTACCGTTTGTCTGGAAGGGACTCGACTCCTCAGGTGGTCATGGCGAGAACACTGTAGAAATTCCCACTTTCTAAAGAAGTTCTGTAGCCCAGCCATCATCTGGAGGAGAGAGAGGTCTTTGTGCCAGCAATCTCACAGCAGCTGGCCTTTCGTCACTAAGATGCGTGACATGCAAACGCTAGCGTGCTTCCCAGAAGCACTCCAAGTTACGCTGCTGAGAGATGGGAAGTTCCCCCCACACCCTGCCCCAAAAGCTGCGGGTGACGGAGAGGAAGATCACGTGTTCAACGAATACACGAGATGCTTGAGAAGCAACTACTCTTCTCCCTGGTACTGACAACAGGTGCCAGCAGACTCTGATGGCTGTCCTCGCAGCCCAGATCTGGACAGCTAGGTACTGGCAAGCCCTTAGCAGATTTTTCTCCAGTGAATGCTAGCGGCTCGTTCTCGTGCATAGGTGAAGCGAAGTTAAAAACGAACAAAAAAAAAAGAAAGGGAAAAAAAAAAGAGAAAACGGTTGACACTTCCCCTGCTGCAGGCTCTGTTTCGCTAGGGTTTGCTGCTCTCCGCTGCCGCATGGCGGAGGGCCGCCGGGGCGGAGGCAGGCAGCGGCCCCGGCTAGGGAGGGCTCGGCGGGGCAGCAGCACTCACCTTGAGGTCGCGATGGACAACGCCCATCTGATGGCAGTGTAGCACAGCCTCCAGGATCTGCTGAATGCAATGACTGCATGCAAACACCAGGGGCGCGTGTTAGTTCCAAGCGTGCACTCGCCGCCCGCACAGCCAGGCGCCGGGGCGGCG